TCATAGAGTAATCAAATCTTTGTGATAACCAATGGAAAAACAGAAAAGAGATATATGAATAAAAGCCAAGAAAAGATTTCACAAATAACGGAAAGTGACCTGAGGCAAATCTACTGAGTCATTTGATTACAATCTTACCTTGTTGCCATCAGCTCATTCCTTAGGAAAAAGTGTTTTGTTTGTTTTGTTTTTTTAATTTAGAGTACTTGGTCTCAAAGATCTTTCCTATCTTAGTAAGAGGAAAAGTTCATGTGGGATCCTCATTTCAGCAGAAAGTAGCTGAAGCAGAGAAGAGACAAGTATCTATCAAGGCAAACTACTGAGCTTGTTTTATGCAAAATAAGTTGGTGTGAATCTTTTTTCATTTAGGGCTATGTGGGTCAAGCAGCAGGCTACTTACTTCATTTTATTTAATTTGGTTACCAGGATCTGGGGTCACTCAAACTCTAAAGATTATAAATGCAAACCTTTCTGACCTCTATATTAATTATTAACTAAGTGCGTGATCATTTGAATGTCACTGATTAAGAACAAAAACAAGTATTGAGCCATAGTAAGCAGTTACAAAATTATTTGCAAACACAGTTGAACTGAATGCCTTCCTCAAGGGGAATGGTATAAGATGTAGGAAATGTGTGTTTTAGACTCAGCTCTGCAACAGGTTTTTATGTCTTTCATCAATGTCCTCAATATATAGGAAGCAGTTTCTAAGCCCTAAAAGGGAAACAATTTTCCTGTAGAGAAAGAAAAATGAGAGAATTAAAATGGTTATGATAGCCACATAAGATCTCAGAATCACTATATAGTAGTCTGAAAAAAGTGGCATGTAACTAGATTTTAACGAGTCTTAATTTTCCATACCAAGGAAGATAAGAGGCCAAGAACAGTGGCTCAGACCTGTAATCCCATCATAGTAGGCAATTGCCACTTATGAGGCAAAGATTCAGAGGACTGCAATTTGAGGCCAACTTAAGCAAATAACAAAAGCCTGCCTCAACTAACAGGCCAGCCATGGGTGTGTGTGTGCTTGTAGTTTTAGCTTTGGTGGAGGGATAGATAGGAAGATAATAGTTCAGCATAGCTTTAGTAAAATGAAATATGACTCTTTTAAAAAGAAATAACTAAATCAAGGATGGAGATGTGTCTAGACTATTATAGCATATTGCACTAGTAAGTGCAAAGCCTGAGTTCCAACCCCAATACCACCAAAATTACAATGTAAAACTACTTGCTGTAGCCAATTTAGAACAAATATGATATACTTACGAACTTACCCTTACTTAACCATTACTTTCCTAACAAGACATGTTAATTTAGCAGTATTTGTGTCTTTCAGTTTTGCATTCTATGGTTGTTTTTTCATGAGTTTAAACATCCTTATGACCGATGATGACTCGATGATGTCCACATAACTAAGTAATTATTGCTCTCGATACTGTCCCTTCTTTACTGTGTATTTCATTGGCATCAACGAGGATTTTTTCCATATAAATATTTTATAATAAAAATACTGTACAGAGAGGTTACAGTTGCATGAATAAGGTAATGAGTACATTTCCTATCAAACATTGTTACCTCCTCTTTTGTTTTTCTCCTACCTTCCCTTTCCTCCCCACCTCAACTCCTCCTCCCACCCCAAACTGTGAAGTTCAAGACCTCAGGACCAATGGAATAGAATTGAAAACCCAGAAATGAACCTACAGATCTATAGCCATCTAATCGTCGATAAGGGACCTAAAAAAATAGAATGGAAGAAAGACAGCCTCTTCAGTAAATGGTGCTGGCAAAATTGGTTAACTACTTGTAGAAAACTAAAGCTAGATTCTTATATATCACCCTGCACCAGAATCAACTCCAAATGCATCAAAGACCTCGAAGTCAAAGCAGACACTCTGAAAACATTACAGGATGGAATAGGAGAAACCCTAGGTCTCCTTGGCTCAGGCCAAAATTTTCTGAATAGAGACCCGGAAACACAACAAATCAAAGAAAGGTTGGACAAATGGGATTGCATAAGGTTGCAGAGCTTCTGCAGGGCAAAGGACATAGCTAGCAAGATCAATAGAAAGCCCACGGATTGGGAGAAGATCTTCACTAGCCACACAACGGACAAGGGTCTCATATCTAAAATATACTTGGAACTCAAAACATTAAATCCTCCAACAACAAATCCTCAAAGAAACAACTGCCCAATAAACAAGTGGGCGAAAGACTTAAAGAGAAACTTCTCTGAAGAGGAAAGAAGGATGGCCAATAGACACATGAAGAAATGCTCAACATCCCTAGCATAAAAGAAATGCAAATCAAAACAACATTGAGATACCACCTCACTCCAGTTAGAATGGCAAAAATCAAGAACTCTAACAACAACAGATGCTGGAGGGGATGTGGACAGAAGGGAACCTTACTTCATTGTTGGTGGGAATGTAAACTTGTTCAACCACTTTGAAAAGCAGTATGGAGGTTCCTCAAAAGACTCCACATAGAACTCCCCTATGACCCAGCAATCCCACTTTTGGGCATTTACCCAAATGTTTACAAACAAGACCACACTAAAGCCACCAGCACAACTATGTTTATTGCAGCATTATTTACCATAGCTAAGATATGGAACCAACCCAGGTGCCCCTCAGTAGATGAATGGATCAAGAAAATGTGGTATATATACACAATGGAATTCTATGCCTCCATCAGAAAGAATGACATTGCCCCATTTGTTAGGAAATGGAAAGACTTGGAAAAAATTATATTAAGCGAAGTAAGCCAGGCCCAAAGAAACATAGGCCCCATGGTTTCCCTTATTTGCAATATCTAGTATATGTATGAGTCAAGCGGAAAAGGTCAGATAATGTGATGTTAGGAAAATGAACCCTTAGATATGTATTTTAATGTTTTTTTTTCTTTCATGCATGTGTTTCTAACGCATTTATAAGATTATTTCTTTGTTGCTTTGTATGTCCCTCCCCCACAGTATAACCCCTGCTTTCACTATATTTGTGGAGGAGATGGGGAAAAACAAATCGTTTAAGGATACAGGTGGATCTGTTGCAACAATGAGAAGTACAAGTTGTCATGTCCATAACGAGCTTTACAATGTCAGTGTGTGTGGGGGGGGGGGGGAGGGGGCGGGGGGGGGGGGAGGCTGGGAAGGGATGTGAAGGGTAAACAAAGGAGGAGGCTGCAATGCTTGGTAAGAAATGTACGCATTATCCTGCCCATATAATTGTAACCCCTCTGTACAGTATGTTCACAAATAAAATAAAATAAATTAAAATTAAAAAAAAATTGTGAAGTTCATTTTCAACATAGTGTCTTGTACATCTCATTGTTACAATGGTTCGACCTGTATCCTTATTTCAGCATTTTGTTATATCCCTTCCCCTCCTCAAATTATAAAAATGTATATACAAGATGCAGGGCACTGGCATCAAATACAGTTAAATAGGGGTTATACCATGTGGGAAGAACATACAAAAGAAAAAAGAGAATCACATAGTGCATTATAAGTATGTTAAAAACAATAGTAAGAAAAAAACAAGAGGATTTTATACTGACATTTCCAGTTATGCAAACTTTGTATCTTGTTTTATTTTCATTTCCTTCAAATGAGACCAAAATCAGCATAACAGCTTTTATGGTTGTGAATAGAAAGTAGAGAAGCCATCATTCTTCCCACCTCCCGACTAAATCACATGACAAAGGCTTTCCCCTCAGCTATACTGAGCAAGTTTCAATGCTGCAGTGGTGGGAAGAGAATTCCAGGACTGTTCTTCAGGAAACCATGGTGCATGGCAATGGCCATGAGACAATCTCCTTGAAACCCTAGCTCTTCCACCTATGAGCCACGTGACATCCACAGTTCTGTACTCCTGATCCTCCCTTACCTCACAAGAAAAGGAAAATACCAATGATTGTAGCCATTCGTTTTTCTGTTATATAATAGTGAAGGAAATGCAACTTTTGGTGAGTACTCATTATATATTTGGTTTTTCAAAGGGCATGATGGATGCTAGGTATCTTACATTTAGTTAGAAATAAAACAATCAATAAGTCTATTAACTTGTGGAGGAGTCCTAGTAGCGAAGACAGATCTGGAAGTGTTCAAATACATGTTTCATAGAACATACAGAATGTCCTCAAATCTATAATGGCCCAGCTTATCACTAATCTGAGAATGGAGAATTGTACTTTTTTTTTGAAGGAAATCTTTTATTTATTTATTTACTTATTTATTTTTTGGGTTCGATCGTGGACCTGAACTCTAGGCCTGGGTGCTGTACCTCAGCTTTTCAGCTCAAGGCTAGCGCTCTACCACTTGAGCCACAGTGCCACTTCCGGCTTTTTTTTTCTGCTTATGTGGTGCTGAGGAATAGAACCCAGGGCCTCATGCATGCAAGACAAGCGCTCTACCACTGAGCCATCTTCCCAGCCCCGAGAAATGTACTCTTTATCTGACTTATGTAATTGTAACCCCTATGTACATCTATCGTTACAATAACAATAATGAATTTTTAAAAGGAGAAACATTTTTGCGTAATGTTCTTATATATCAAGTCATGACTTTAATATTTCTCAATCACGGCTGTATATTGAAAGCAGGTAGGTTTATATTTTATGTTAGCAATATTTGATTGCCAACAAGTTCAGTTAAACTACATTCTCCTGGAAGTGGCGCTGTAGCTCAAGTGGTAGAGCACCTGCCTTGAGCTGAAGAGCTGAGGGACAGTGCCCAGGCCCAGAGTTCAAACCCCACGACCACCAAAAAAAAAAAAAAAAGAAAAGTTAAACTACATTCTCCTATGTGCCTTCTGGAAACAGGGACATATGTACAGGTCATTCACTTTTATCTCTATCATTGGGACAAAGTCTAATCAGAGGAGAGATGAAAGTACATCTACCTAATTACTAACACACAAAGAGGTACACCTACAGTCTCAGGGAGCATTATAAAAGGTCTGCCCTGCAAGCTCACAGTACTCTCAGAAGAAGAGAAAGCCTCAATGGGTCCAGTAGGTGTCTTGGTGCTGGGTCTCTCTTGTCTTCTTCTCTTTTCAATATGGAGACAGAACTCTGGAAGAAAGAAGCTCCCTCCAGGCCCCACTCCTTTCCCAATTATTGGAAATATACTGCAGGTTGATATTAAAGACTTCACTAAATCTTTAACCAAGGTAAGTACTCTTTATGTTTGCCCAATGGTCTCTGACAAAGATAAACCAAACCATATTTTAAATCTACTGCTGAAGGTACAATAGCATGATCAATTATTACTAACAAAAATTCTTGAATTATGTCGTATATAGCTGTGATTTTCCCAGTTTGTATTTCAATCATGGAACGGTATTACGTGATTGGGTTATTGTCCATTATAGTCTCAGTTGCAAAATTGCAAATGTTATGGATGGTTCACCCCATCTTAATTTAATACCATGTTTATGATTGTTTGTTCTGAAAATCCATGATAAGGAAAGTGTTATGATTAAATGGTCAATTCAAAAATTCTTGTAGCATTTTACACATGTTTTTATGCAGAGTCATCATGAAAGCTAACTTCTCTGAGAGGTGGTGGATGATTGAAAGGAAGTATCTGTGAGGATGAGAGAATATAAAGACATGAGACCATTTAGGAGATACTGATGGTGTCAGAATCCACCTGGATTTTTGCATGAAACTTTTTTCTGGGGCAAAGAATGCTGCTGGGTGAGAAATTGTTTGGGAAGATGTTTATGTACTGGCGCAGCCTCTGTGGGGCACACCCTCTGTTTCTAATGCCAATCGATCCAAACTGCACTTGCCTGTAAAAGCACCTGTGTTGACATAAAACTGCCAGTTTCTCTTATTTGTCCCAGGAAGTAAGATTCTCAACAGTAAGAGTTTCAGAGATTATCTGAAAGGAATTATCTGGCTATTGATTTGGTGTGAAAGGAGAATTAAACATATCTCAAGCATGGAATGTCTAATAAGTAGAAGTTCAACTACAAGTCTTCCATTTATTATCTATGGGGCTCTAGAAATGAATTTAGAATCTACAGACCTCTGTTTCTTTCTTTGTGAAACATGACAAGCCTGCTGTGCGTTTTCATGTGAGGATGATTTACAATGGTGTATCAACTGCCTGGTCCACTGCATGGCACAGTGTAGGCCATCTCTAAATGACAGCTATAACAGACCTCCTTATAATGTACGAACTTGGGAAATATTTGAAGTTGTGTTCACCAAAATAAAGAAGCATAAAAAATACAATGATGATATCAGTTTTGCTCAGGCTCAACCTGAGGAGCAAATAGTAACTTTTTGCTACTATTTTTTTCTTCTGATTTTCCAGTTCTCAAAAGTCTATGGCCCTGTGTTCACTCTGTATTTGGGCATGCAGCCCACTGTAGTGTTGTATGGATATGAAGCAGTGAAGGAAGCTCTGATTGACCATGGGGAGGAGTTCTCTGGAAGAGGCCAGTTCCCATTGATTGATAAATTTACTAAAGGCCTTGGTAAGTGAACACATGCATGTGTGTGTGTGTGTGTATTTGTGTGTTGTGCAGAGGATGTGGTGATAAGAAGGATGGAAAATGAGGCCAGATGGGTTCTTAACTCAGAGCTTGGCCATCCCTTGGCTGGTGTATGTCTACTTCCTTTTCCTTGCTTGACTTCTTCATCCATGTTTCTGCTTCCTTTCATTTAGGGATTGTTTTCAGCAATGGACATACATGGAAAGAGATGAGGCGCTTCTCACTCATGACCTTGCGGAATTTGGGGGTGGGGAAGAGGAGCATTGAAGAGCGTGTTCAAGAGGAAGCCCGTTGCCTTGTGGAAGAATTAAGGAAAACCAATGGTGGGAGCTGCTTCAAATCACTTCTTTAGATAGGGATATAAAAGGTTACATTCATTCCCTTCTGTCTCAGATAAAGATTCTTTTGTTTTCACATCAGAGATCATTAATAGAATTTTTCTTTTTTGTTTTATGCTGATACTGGAGTTTGATCTCTGAGCTTTAAACTCTTACTCAGCTCATGGCTGGTGCTCTACCATTTGAGCTATACCTCCAGTTCAAGTTTTTTGCTGGTAAGTTACTGTAAGTGTAATAGATTTGCACAAATTTGGCCACCTTGGCTGGCTCCCAACAACAATCCTCAGATTTAAGCCTTGTGAGTAGCTGGGGTTCTGGTCACAAACACCAATAGTGTCTGGCCAATCTTCTCTGAAGATTTAGGGAACAATGCTTCCCTCTTAGCATAATTCAGGGTAGTTAGTGTCATCATTACATGAGAGTACTTGCTAAAGGAACAGGGTGGTAATGACTCTATCAACCCTCAGAGACCCCCACATAGGTACAACTATATTAGCACACTCATTTCCATTAACATTTCAGTGATTCCTCAGTGCCCATGCTTACAATTTTGGATAGTCATGGTGTGTTGTAAGATATAATTTTATTTGCTTTAGTGTATCAATATAATTCACATCCAAAATTATTTACCTGGGAATATAGTGCAATTGTTACATACCAACTTTGTTATTTCTTCTTACCAAGTACTTCACAGTTTTTATTTACATATTTTGAGTAACTATGTGCTCTATCATGAATCTATAAAATTCACAATTATATTAAATGATTCAATTAGTTAGCTTTCAACCATTACAATTAATTCTTTATCCAGTCTTAGTATATTCTGGCTCAGTTTTCAGTTTTGCCTATCACTTTTCTCCAAGTTTATCAGATATTATGCTGAAAATCTCATGGTAATTATTCCCATAGCCAAGTCCACTCACGTATTATCTGCTAGTCACAATGGATACAATTGTCTACTTAGATTCTAAATGAACTGGCTTTTTAAAGTTCATTCTTATAAATCAGACTTAACCTATAAATGACACACACATTCAGTCAAAGAATATCTCAACAACTTCTCAGAAAACCAACTTCTTCATAATTAAATAAAATGTTTTTATCTGTCTAATGATAGAACTTCAGAGAAAGACAAATTTAAAAAATATATAACATATTATTCATCCCAGAATTCCAAAAGTTTGGCTTTGTCCATAAATTAAATTTGGTGTTTGACTAGATTTAGTGTCTATTGATTTCCTAAGGAGAGGAAATTCACTTTTGAATATTGAAATGAAAAACAATTCTCCTATTTATTAATTTTATGTTTTTGTTTGTCTTACCTGAGATTTACATTTAAGAAAAGATTTAAATTTAGACATTGCTGTTTTTCCTCATACAACATGATTGCATTCTGTTTTTTACTTTGGTTCCTTCTAGTATTAGAACTCTAGTAAAATCTATCTCTTCAGTTTCTCTCCATTGGCAAGTCAAAAAAGCTAGATACCTGATATTCTTTCCTTTATTTTCTCAGTGCTATGAAGTCTATAGGCTTTGGAAACAGATATATTACTATTCTGAGTGGTTGACTATTAGGTATATAAAAGTCTTCTTTATCCAAAATAGCATACAGCTGAGGTTGAAAGACTATAGGTAAAGGCAATTAGTATGAACTGACATTATTTTGCTAGTTAGTTTGTACTGGCCAACTCAAGCTTCAGGTTAAAGATATGCAGGTTTAATTCAAATGGGATATTTGGCTGTTAGAGGAATTTATAAGTAAAATAGTAATAAAATGGTAAAGATGACAAAGGCTAAGTACAGTATTTCATATGTATATTTCATTTGTTTCTAACTCTTCAGGCTCACCCTGTGACCCCACCTTCATCCTGGGCTGTGCTCCCTGCAATGTCATCTGCTCCATTGTTTTCCAGAATCGATTTGATTATAAAGACCAGAACTTCCTGAACTTGATGAAGAAATTGAATGAGAATGTTGAGATTATGAGCTCACTATGGATACAGGTGAAGCCAAGATCTTTTCTTCCTAAGAAAACACTTCTCTTTAAACAAACAAACAAACAAAACAGACCCAAATTAAATAAAGAGCCACTAGTAAGATGAATACCTAGACCCAACAGTCTTACCTAAAAAATGTTAGAGTGACATTCATGTAATGTCACTGCCTATGGTAATGTGTTCTGTTGTGTTCCCTATTCTGTTTTTGTAGTAGCTTCAAAGTTTATGGTTTCATATTAAGATCCTTGATCAACTTTCAATTGATATTACTACAGGGCAATAGATAGGAGTCTAGTTCGTTTTCTGTATTTCCAAAAATGGAACAATGAAGCTTGTTGGAATTGGTTTGGGAAACAGGGAAGGAAAGGATGAAGGAGAGCAGCCGAGGAGGTAAGTCTCATCTAGATATATTGTATGGCTGGGCCCTGCTGGCTCATGCTTAAAATGCTAGTTACTTATGAGACTGAGACCTGGAAGATAAAGGATTGAAGTCAGCCAGAGCAGAGAAGTCTGTTAGACTCCATCTCCCAAACAGCCAGCAAAAAAAGGTCAGGGAATGTACTACACCACAGCACCAGCCATGAGCAGGCAAGGCAATCAAGAGCCTGAGGCCCTGAGTTCAAACCCAGTACTGGCACCAAAAAGAAAGATGCATTTCATTTCTATATGGATATGTCAAAATGAAAGCCTTTGACAGCTAACTGATGCTAATAGAAATGGAAGAAAAAAATATGAAGTAAACATCTGAGATAGATACCTAAGCCTCTATTTTATGCCTACTAAAAATGCGCAACTATAAGATTGACTCAAGCTAATGAATTCAAGCAATTAATTTGTTATTTCTGATTAAATCCCATAGGGATTTTCCTCTAAATTGCTTTGTTCATTCCAGAAAGATGCCTAGTGGATCACTGGATATCCAGGTCCTTAGTGAAAGCTTACATTTCCCAAAGGTTGGTCTTCCAATCAGATATTTCAGATTCATGCTATTACTGGGTAGAATTATTTTTTTGTCACAGAGGAAGCATATTTGGGACAGCAGAAGCTACTAGGATTCATTAAGGAGAGTCAGAGTGTTTGCTGAATCCACTGTGATTCTAGATGATGAGGTAGCCTGGTAGAAATGACAAAATTAAATATAGATAGTGTTAGGTTTTTAGAAAGAGGTTGCTGAATAAGAACCACACGATGCACATGGTAAGGGGTAGGTTTATTCCTCATTCTGGCTGGCACCAGGCCATGTTGGCACTCCACACGTCTAGGAAAATACCTGGGAAAGAGAGCGTCTGGCCCTGGGCTAGGCCTTATCTAGGGTAGAGGTGGGGAAAGGTGCAGCTACCTCGAATCCAGTTGACCTCTTCCAGGTGTGCCAGTTGTCTAGGTAATGAAGATACTGGGCAGAGACTTTGCTGCAAGGAGGGTGGAGTCTGCTCACCATTCAGGAGCGGACCTTACAGATAGTAGATAGATAGACAGATAGACAGACAGACAGACAGACAGACAGACAGACAGATCGATAGATCAATCCTCACAATATCTTTCCTTGTACTGATTTGTCATGGCCTAAACTCTGTAAAAATTAATAACTATGTGATCATGGAGAAGTCAGTTAGATGGTCTGGCATGGGACTGAGTTGTAGGGCATCCTGGAACCCCTCTCACTTTATATGTCCCTTCAAAATTTCCCTTTAAAATGGAAGCCATATAACATTTCTATTTACAGCCAAGTTTTCTATAATATGGATAGTTGTATATGTAAAAATATTTTTATTTAATAAATTATTGTTTTTACTTTTAGATCTACAACCTTTTCCCTGATCTCATTGGTTATGCACCAGGGAGTCATAAAACACTACTAAAAAATATTGAGCATATAAAAAGTTATATTTTGGAGAGAGTAAAAGAACATGAGGAATCACTGGATGTTAACAATCCAAGAGACTTGATTGATTGCTTCCTGATTAAAATGAAACAGGTAAAATGTTAAAAATCACACAGTTTTTTGAAATCTTGAGCATTTTGTATCACGTTCAATAGTCAGTGTTACAAAAGCAATCAGGCCAACAGTGCTTGAAAACATGTTACCATTTACGTAAATGAATCTACGCTAAGCATCTTGGGAAACAAAGTTAATTTGTTAAATAATTAGAATACATTTACTCTTTTGTTATATAAAAATAATCTAAATAAGAAGAAGCAGAATGAAATAGAAACAAGTGAAATGGAATCAATTGCCATGCAAAGTATGTGTCATTTATATAAAGATGGGTATCATTATTATATACTGTATGGAAGAGAAGACCCCATTAGGGTGGACTTCCTGCATGTTCTGTAAGTCAGAATTGGCCTTGAAGAAATAATTTTGGAATGATCCTTAATTGGTCATGGTTTATTACCCTTAAACATTTTTCCACTGTAATTTTTAAAATATATGTATTACAGTACTATTATGCTTTTCATACTAACAAATAAATTATACATAGACTCCTAATGTGGTATTTTATATATGTATGTAATGTATTTTAGTCACACCTCTTCTATTATGTTTACTAATCCCTCTTTAATCATTCTATGTATATTTTAATGGGTTTTATAATGTTATTTTCACATAAACATATGATGACTATATTATATATGAAGCATAACTGTACAATGCACATATATCTTATATATATAAAACTATGGCGATCAAGTAAGTATAGTTGATTTCTTATTAGTTACTATGGGAATTACTATAGCAAATTTATGGCAGTTTAGTGTGAAATTGCAGCAAATTAGCTTCTGACTGCACATTTAATCCTCACTGCCCTCCAATTGCATCCTTCTTGGGTTGTTTTTGTTATGAATTACATCTCAAATATATTGGGTACCCATAGCATTTATCCATGATTATTGCCTCACGTATTTCCTTTAAAAATGTATATAAACTAAAAAGAGGTTGAATACAAAAATATAGTATTATTAAATCCTTTATATATGGTTATATACAACAAGGATATGTATTTCTGGATATGGTGTTGATTTATTGTTCAATACATTAAAGTTTGTATTTGAAAGCTGATTCCCCTTAGCACTTCTTGTATGGTAGATCTAGTCATGAGAGATTTTCTTCTCTTTGATTTGTCTTGAGAGTATTAATTTCTTCTGCATGACGGTAGGATATGAGATAAAATTAGTGTTTTAGTCCATGGAATCATTAGATTTTTATTCATTTAGATTTTCACTAATTTTTTCACTATTTATACAACCCAGATTATAATAGGTTATGTGACCTGCAACTATTGAATCTCTAAATTCATTTCAACAGATGGAAGTTTTAATATTGGTGTTTGCTCACACTATCCTACAGTAATTTGTCCTTAAGATTTAAGAGTAATTGTAACTTTGATAATACTAAAAGTTGTATAACTTGATGAGCTTAGAACACATGAAGTTGATAGTGTAAAAGGAGATGACATTTCCTAGCAACTACAAATGTTGAGGGGTTTCATTTATTTTAATTTATTATATAATATTAGACACACTACCATTCTTCTGGAGATTATAAAAGCATGATGGATTTAATGTTGGGTCAGCAATCAGTTAGAAAACGATGTATTCTGACCATATAATGATTTCCTCATTCAACATCTAAAATTGAAACCTTGTTGACAACTTGGTTTCGCACCATCTTCTCAGTCCTTGGCACTGCTTCATCCATCCTCTCTCCTTTGTGTCAATGACAAATTAAGGTGAATACTTTTTGTCTTCATGATTTAGTGTCTCTTCAGCTCATGCATTCCTAGTCGTTCCTCTGCAGGTTCCCTAGGCTGCCTGGCTTAGTGCTTCCCATCTGCTGACTCATCATGTTTTGATGAACCCATTCTTACTCCTTGTGACTCCTAGGTTCTGCTCCTTTTAGCATTTTAATGCGCAAGATTGGGCATATGTAAACTTCTGATTCAAGAAGTTAAATTGTGACTGGGACCTCATAACTGTAATGCTAGCTATTCAAGACTTTGAGATCTGAGGATCAAGGTTTGAAGCCAGCCTGGACACAAAAGTCCCTGAGACTCTTATTTCCAATTTAAACAGTAAATAGTTAGAACTAGAGCTGAGATTCAAGTGGTATAGCAATAGCCTTGAGAAAGAAAAAAAAAAAAAAAAGCTCAAAGCAACACCCAAGTTCAAGTTCAAGCCCCAGGACCAACAGCATCAATAACAACAAAAAAAGTTTAATTGCAGATTCTTGCTTCAGACTTATAACACGTAGGTCCCCGGTTTTCCTCCTTCTATTACTCAATTTTCTGATCCTTTAAAAATTAGAGAAAATTTGGTTATTAGTGGCTTAAATGAGTGGTGAGTTTCATTTCTTCAAATATAGTTATAGCACTATATCAGTTAGAGTAAGGACCGCACAGTAGCCCTGAAGACTTAGGCTCAGCTAATCACCACCCCATATGACATTGTGCATTTTTCTTATTCCTTTACTCTCCAACTTCATACCACTGTGAGATACTGTGACTTCAATGTCATCACATGTGCTGGTAAATAATATAATTGTATTAAATCTTAGGACCAGGAAAATCACAAGGAACCATCAGAATTTACTAATGAAAGTTTGACAATTGTTGCATCTGATTTATTTACTGCTGGGACAGAAACAACAAGTACAACACTGAGATACTCCCTGCTGCTCCTGCTGAAGCACCCCCATGTCACAGGTAGGAGCACAGAGGGAGACCTAGCTGAATCTTAGGAAAATATAGGAAAGATGCTGCTAGTGATTTGCATTGTCAGATACATCTCATAGCTCAGTACATAGTTCAGTACATTCCTTATTTCACAAATAAAGAGCTCATAAAGGACTTGGAGGCCTTCATATACTTTGGACACTATGACAGGTTTGGGGTTTTTTTTGGGGGGTGGTCCGGTCGTGGGGCCTGAACTCTGGGCCTGGGCGCTGTTCCTCAGCTCTTCAGCTCAAGGCTAGCGCTCTGCCACTTGAGCCACAGCACCACTTCCAGCTTTTTCTGCTTATGTGGTACTGAGGAATTGAATCCAGGGCCTCATGCATGCAAGGCAAACACTCTACCACTGAGCCACTTTCCCAGACCGTGTCCTGTTTATTTTTGAAATATACTCTTATTTCTATCCGTGTCAACTACAGAAGCTAAACTATTTTTTCAAAAAACACATCATTTTTTCTAAACGTTAAGAAAGATTGAAAATAATTTTATGGTAAATCAGCTCTTTTATCAGCAAAAATATTTCTGAATTAGAACAAAATGTGAATATTTAATTAACAACTTACAAGTTATACTGTTGTCATTCTTAATGCCATTTATGTCATCCTCTAACCCACAAATTATCATTAATATTTGTAGAGACTTGTGAAATCTGAAGATATAAGTGAAGATAATAGTGTTTTAAAATATACTTTTATTGTTAATATTTTATGCCTCTTATTTTGTAATGTTTTATTATAACATAGTATTATAAGTCCATAGTATCTATGATAATACACTTGTTAAACACACATATTTTATCTCAATATTTAAGGTATATTACCTGTACACTAATTGTTTTTTTTTGTTTTTATGCTTTTGTTTTTTAACAAGCTAAACCCTTACAAATATATTAATGCTTTACAAGGCTACCTAGAAGAGTGATGTGTGCATATATTGAAGTGTAACTATTCCATGGGGTATACATTTTTTACCTGGAATCTTGTTGAGATACCTTACTACCCTTTGGTAGCACTGACTTACTATGATCAATGTGGCACTTTCTTCCTGTTTCACCATTTCTTATTATGTCTCACCAGCTAAAGTGAAGGAAGAGATTGACAATGTGATTGGCAGGCACCGCAGCCCCTGCATGCAGGACAGGAGCCAAATGCCCTACACAGATGCTGTGCTGCATGAGATCCAGAGATATATTGATCTCCTACCCCTAAGCCTGCTCCATGCGGTAACCCGTGATGTTAAGTTCAGAGATTACATCATTCCCAAGGTGAGTTTGTTTCTTCTCAGCTGAGGCTCCATAGGGAGCCTGAGTTCCTGAGGTTGCTGTGGGATTCCTCTTCTACACACCACATGAGAGAGCTGGGAAAGTCTCTGCTCAGTTGGCTGCTCAGGAGAGTCTGTGTTATGGGAAATTGACGGTTATATATCCATGGAATAATATCCCTGGTATCCTGCACTGTGAATTTTCCAATTTTTGTTCTGCCCCTTAAATTCTTTTGTTTTGGGGTGTTCTCCCTTTTAGCTATGCTTAATTTTTGTATTTCCAAATGAATCTGACAAGTTTATTTTTATCAATTTCCAAAAATGCTCTACTGGAATATGTATCATGATGATGGTAAAATTATAGATAAATTTGGGGGAAAATGTTATTCATTTCTCCAATTCATGAATAAATTATGCTCCCAATTTACCTATGCTTTATTTTCCAAATAATATTTTGTTTTCAATACACTGTCTTAGAAATATTTTCATGGACTTCATCTAAATGCGGAGTGTTTTGATTGTTATTGTTCTGTTTGTGTTGCTGGTGGTTGTGGTGGTAGTGTTCTTCCAGCTTGAGCTTTGGGCCGCAGCAATGTCCAGGGCCCTTTTTGCTCAAAGCTGGTATTTTGCCACATTGAGACACAGAACCAGTTCTGGTTTTTTGGTAATTAACTGGAGATAAGAGTCTCATGGACTTTTTTTACCTGGCTGGCTTATAACCGTGATCCTCAGATCTCAGCCTTCTAAGTAGCTAGAATTACAGGTATGAGAAAACACTGCCATTTGACTGTTTCCATTTTATGGTGCCTTTGCTATACTTGCTACATGATATACAGAAAAATAATTAATCATTCTGATGACCTCATAATTAGTAAACTCATGAAATGTATTAGTCATTGCTAATGATTTATTTGTAGACTTGTTTCAAATTTTAAGGTGCATTACCATGATATCTGGGTTAATATTTTATTCTCACTTTTCTAATTCTCATGTCCATAAATTTGCTTTGCTGAATTTTTGCACTGGCATCCAAGGATGGTGGTCATCTTTGTTTCATTTATGATTGTCAGAAAATATTTCAAGATTGATATTTCACTGTCAAGTTGGCTATCTTAAGTTGCTTTGGTAGATTTGTTTATAATATTAGGGAAGTTTATCCCATATTTTTATTTATGTATGCATCTTGAACATAAATATGTTTATATTTTGAATCAGATCTATTCTCCATAATAATTCTTCTTTTTAAAGTATTTTATTGTTATAAAGGTGATGTGCAGGTCGAGTACATTTCTTCTTGGACAATGTCACACCTTCTCTGGCTCTCTTCCAGTTTTTCCCTCCCATCCCCACCTACAAGTTGTACAGTTCATTTTCAACATAGTGTCTAGTGAGTGCCACTGCTGAATTTGCTCATCCTTTGTCCCTCCATTTCTGTGCCTCCCCTAACACTCCCAAAGAAAGATAAATGAACAAACAGAACCAAAAGGAAAGAAAAAAAAAACAGCAAAAAAGAAAAGAAACCCTTCTTTTCATTTCCTGCAGTTCATTCTAGTAAATATTACTTTGTATGATCAGATTCAATAGACATTGAGCCTTTGTGTTCCTCTCATAAAAATATCCTCCTGTGGTCTCACTGTATGAATGCCTAAGAGTCTTCTTTTTATATTAGTTTAAAATTTCAAGCATAGTACTGGCTTAGGCAGCACATATGGTAAATGGGAGCAATACAAAAAAGATTAGCATGGCCCCTGCTTAAAGATGACACTCAAATTTGTGATGCATTCCATATTTTTATCAAAACAAGTATCAAGAAATGGAAACGTTGGAGTTGGGACAAATGAGGACACAGGAATGGAAAGAGGAAGGGTGAGCAAATGCAGTCACTGTATTCTAGATGAGTAGTTGTTGGCCTTCCAATGCTTTGTGCCCTCCTCATTTTAAGGTTTTTGCTGTGGAGAAATCTGGTGTTATGCAGATGGGCTTGCTACCATAGATGACTGGTTGCTTTCCTTTAGGAACTTTCAGTAATCTTTAATTTTTCTGAATGTTTAATGTTTGACTATAATGTGTCGTGGAGTGATTCTTTTTTGATATGATCTGTTTGCTGTCCTAAAGACCTCATGTACCTGATTGCTAAAGATTTAGGAAATAGTCTCCTATTATTTTATTAAATATGTTTCTTTTTCCTTTAGCATGGGCCTCTTATCCATCCTCTATGCCTATTTTATGTAAGTTTTATCTTTCAAGTTTCCCAGGTGGATTTTATGCTCTTTCATACTTCTTTACTTTTCACCTAGTTCTTCATCTGACTATTTTAACATTTCTATTTTATCCTTGAACCCTGATATTCTGTTTTCAATTTGATCCACTCTTTGTCATTGGATTTTTTACTTGATTCATACAGCTTTTCATTTCTAAAATTTTAGTTTAATTCTTTAATATTTCTGAATCTTTGTTGAACTCATTGATATATTTCATTGTTTTCCTTACTTGTTCAGCTGTTTATTTGTATTGTCTTGGAATTCACTCATGTTTTTATAATTTTTTTTCATTTTACTTATCTTCTAGTCTTGTTCTGAGTTCTTTGAGCTTTCTTCTTCAATATCCTTTATGTCTATTGCTATAATATTGTTAAACTTTGGAGATACTTGCTTTTTTAAAATATTTTCTTTATTGATATTTATCGGATCTGAAACCAGTTCATTGGTTGGATCTCCAACACCTGTAGACCAGAAGATTGAATTAAGTGATTTTCATTGTACCTGTTGCCTCTATAACTAGTTTTGTGTTTTATCAGTCATGAGTCTTGAACTCAGGGCCTGGATGCTCTCCCTGACCTTCTTTTGCTCAACGCTAGCACTCTACCACTTTGAGCCTCAGCACTACTTCAAGTTTTCTGGTGATTAACTGGAGATAACAGTCTCATTGACTTTCCTTCCCAGAATGGCTTTTAACTGCAGTCCTCAGAGCTCAGCCTCCTGAGTAGCTAGGATTACAGGTATGAGCCACTGGCACCTTAGCTTAGCTCCTCTGTGTGTGTTGTTCCCAGGGCACAACTGTATTAACATCACTGACATCCATTCTGCATGACCACAAGGAATTCCCCAACCCAGAGATGTTTGATCCTGGCCACTTTTTGGATAAAAATGGTAACTTTAAGAAAAGTGATTACTTCATGCCTTTCTCAACAGGTAATAAAATTTTATTCCCATAATTCAAGATAACTTTGCAGGCGGGGAGGGGGATGTCAGTTGGAACTTATACAAATCCTCCTTTGGGGCTGGTATATTTGCCCTAAGCTTGTGATTAGGAGCAGCACTTTCAATGCCCATCCACTTTCTTGTTTATGATGCATCTCCACTGTTTGACCACATTAGAGGTTTCAGTTTGTTTGTGCATCTCTCCCAAGTTGAGCAAGATTAAAGCATAGATCTTTTGCATTCTCTTCCTAACCAGTAATCCTCATTTATACTGCCCTCATAATGAGAAAGATGATCATATCACAGGTCCTTGCCACATCTTTTTGTGGCATTTGTCACCCCCAGGATCCTCTACAAAATGAATGTCTCTCAAAATACACAGAAAAGTGCTGAAGTGCAACAAGGGGGAAAAAATCACAGATTATAAGACAACAGCGTTTTCAATGGGGAATATTAACCAATTTACCCCTTTCTCGTTGTCCAATACTAAACAAAAAATGTAGTAAGCAACATTTTAAGATAATTGAGTTAATTCAAAGGGGACAGAGAGAGACAGAAGACAGAGCAGAGCATATTTTTAAAGTCATGAGCCATAAGAGCAAAACATTTAATCTCAGCCAAGAGTGTTAGAAACTGTTGAATAATGTTATGTATGTATCAGAAACATGGGGCAGATATCCCACAATGATCACAGAACACCATGCTCTTCTTTCAATCCAAGACATGTGTCTTGGATACTGTGTCTGAACACTTGCACTATGTGTGCTGTATATCTGGCCAGGGAGCCTCCTTCCTTCTCTAATGCTGTGATTTTTTTTTTATTTTCTATAAATTTTTATTGTAAAATTAGTGTACAGAGGGGTTACAGTTACATGAGTAAGGTAAAGAATACATTTCCTATCCAAGATTGTTACCCCCTCCTTTGTTGTTCCTCTACCATCCTTTCCCTCCCCACCTCTTCAACTACCCCCCACAACTTGTAAAGTTCACTTTCTACATACTGTCTTGTACATCTCATTGTTACGATGGGTCAACCTGTATCCTTGTTTCAGCATTTTGTTATTTCCCTTCCCCTACCCAAATTAGAAAAATGTATATACAAGATGCAGGGCACCAATATCAAGTAAGGGCAACCATGGGTCCTATATTTTGGGGGGCCTGGCTTACTTCACTTAATATAATTTTTCCAGGGCTTTCCATTTCCTAACAAATGGGGCAATGTCATTCTTTCTGATGGAGGTATAGAATTCATATATACATACGTGTGTGTGTGTGTGTGTGTGTGTGTGTGTGTGTGTGTGTGTGTGTGTGTGTGTATAATGGAATTCTCTCTCTATATATAAATATCACATTTTCTTGATCCATTCATCTACTGAGGGGCATCTGGGTTGGTTCCATATCTCAGCTATCGTAAATAATGCTTCAATAAACATAGTTTGTGCTGGTATCTTAGTATAGCCATGTTTGTGATCATTTGGGTAAATGCCCTAAAGTGGGATTGCTGGGTCATAGGGGAGCTCTATGTGGAGTCTTTGGAGGAACCTCCATGCTGCTTTCCAAAGTGGTTGAACAAGTTTACACTCCCACTAACAATGCAGTAGGGTTCCCTTTTGGCCACCTCCCCTCCAGCATCTGTTGTTATTAGAGTTCTTGATTATAGCCATTCTAACTGGAGTGAGGTGGTATCTCAATGTTGTTTTGATTTGCATTTCTTCTATGGCTAGAGAAGTTGAGCGTGTTTATTGGCCATTCTTATTTCCTCTTCAGAGAAGTTTCTCTTTAAGTCTTTAGCCCACTTGTTTATTGGGAAGTTGTTTGTTTGAGGATTTGTTTTGGGGGGGATTTAGGTTTTCAAGTTCTAAGTATTTTAGATATGAGACCTTTGTCTGTGATGTATGACTAGTGATGATCTTCTCCCAATTTGTTGCTTTTCTATTGATCTTGATAGTTATGACCTTTGCCATGCAGAAACTCTGCAATTTCATGCAATCCCATTTGTCCAAACTTTCTTTCATATATTGTGTTTCTGGGTCTCTATTAAGAAATTTTCTGGGCTGGGAAGGTGGCTCAGTGGTAGAGTGCTTGCCTTGAATGCCTGAGGCCCTGGGTTCGATTCCTCAGCACCACATAAGCAAAAAGAAAAAAGTCGGAAGTGGCGCTGTGGCTCAAGTGGTAGAGCGCTAGCCTTGAGCTGAAGAGCTGAGGGACAGCGCCCAGGCCCAGAATTCAGGCCCCACGACCAGACCCAAAAGAAAGAAAGAAAGAAAATTTCTACCTGTGCCAAGGAGCCTAAGAGTTTCTCCTATTCCTTCCTGTAATGTTTTCAGGGTGTCTGCTTTGAGATGGAGGTCTTTGATCCATTTGGAGTTGACTCTGATGCAGGGTACTATATGGGATCTAGCTTTAGTTTTCTACGGGTGTTTAACTACTTTTGCAGCACCATTTACTGAAGAGGCTGTCTTTCTTCCATTCTATATTTTTAGGTCCCTTATCAAAGATTAGGGTGGCTATAAGTCTGTGGGTTCGTTTCTGGGTTTTCAGTTCTATTCCATTGGTCTTCAGGTCTGTTCTTGTGCCGGTACCAAGCTGTTTTGATTACTGTGGCCTTGTAGTGTTTTTGAATTTGGTATTGATATTCCTCCAGCACTGCACTGTTTTTTCTGCTAAGGATTGTTTTATTGTTCCATATGAATTTTGGAGTTGCTTCTTCTATTTTATTGAAGAATGACATTGGAATATTGATAGATATTGCATTGAATTTGTAGCTAGCCTTTGGCAGTATTGACACTTTCAAGATGTTAATCCTCCCAATCCAGGAGCATGGGAGGCTTTTCCACTTCCTAAGTTCCACCTTAATTTCCTTTTTTAGGATTTTTAAAGTTTTCTTGTTAACTCCTAGGTATTTTATATTGGGGGGCTATTAAGAAAGAGTTGCTTTCCTGATTTCTGCCCCGCTCTTCTCATTGTTGCCATACAGAAAAGCCATTGATTTTTGAGGGTTAATTTTATACCCTGCTGTTTTGCCAAAATTTGGGATCAGCTCCAGTAATTTGGGTGTGAAGTCCATGGGATTCTTTAAATACATGATCATGTCATCTGCTAAGAGTGAGAGTTTTACTTTGTCTTTCCCCGTTTGGATCCCCTTTATGATTGTATCTTTTCCTATTGCTCTAGCTAGGCATTCTAATACAAAAGTGAGAAGCTGAGAGAGTGAATATCCTGTTTCATTCTTGAGGTTAGAGGAAATTGCTTTAGTTTTTAACCATTAAGTATAACGCTGGTTGTAGGTTTGTCATACACAGCCTTTGTTATATTGAGGAATGTTCCATGGATTCCTAGTTTTTCCAGAGCCTTCATCATAAAGGGATGTTGGATCTTGTTAAAGGCTTTTTCTGCATCTATTGAGATAATCATGTGGTTCTTATCCTTCCTCTTGTTGATGTGATGAGTTATATTAATTGATTTGTGTATCTTGAATGAACTTTGCATCCCTGAAATGAATGCTGTTTGATCGTGGTGTATGATTTTTTGATGAGTTGTTGAAGTCGATTGGCCAAAATTTTGTTGAGAAGTTTTGCATCCATGTTCATCAAAGAAATAGATCTATAGTTCTCTTTCTTTGAAGGGTCCCTGCCTGGTTTGGGGATGAGGGTTATGATGGCTTCATAGAAAGGGATAATATGGAATTTTGACTTCCAATTTCATTGAAGATTTGGAGGATTATTGGTATGAGGTCTGCTTTGAGGCCTTGTACAATTCAGCTGTAAATCCACCCGGTCCTGGGCTTTCCTTGGATGGGAGGTCTTCTATTGCTGTTTACATTTCGATGCTTGATATGGGTCTGTTAAGTTGGTTTAAATTATCTTGGTTTAGTTTTGCTTGTCAATGTTTGCTAGAAAATCATCCATTTCTTTCAGATTCTCAAACTTATTAGCATAAAGGTTTGAGAAGTATTCTCTTATAATATCCTGAATATTGGTTGTTTCTATGGTAATATTTCCACTTTCATCTCTGAGTTTGTTTATTTAAGTTTGTTCTCTCTTTTTTTTTTTTAAAGTTTGCTAAGGGTCTGTCAATTTTGTTAATTTTTTCAAAGAATCAACTCTTTGTTTTGTTGATTCTTTCCATAATTTTTTGGATCCTAATTCACTTAATTCTGATTTAATTTTAATTAAATTTCCATCTACTGGATTGGGGTTTAGCTTGCTGCTATTCTTCAAGGAGCTTCAGGTGTCTCATTAAATTGCTGGTTTCAGATCTCTCCGATTTGTTGATCTAGGAACTCGGAGCTATAAACTTGCCTCTGAGTACTGTCTTTGCTATGTCCCAGAGGAGCTGATAATTTGTGTGTTCATTTTTGTTGAATATCATGAACATTCGAATTTCCTTTCTAATCTCTTCCATGACCTACTGGTGGTTCAACAGTGTGTTGTTCAGCCTCCATGTGTTACGGGACTTTCTTTGGTGGCTTTTGATGTTGAGTTCTAATTTTATTCCCTTGTGATCTGAGAGAGTGCTGGGCATAATTTCAATGTTTCTGAAATTGGACAAATTTGCCTTGTGACCTAAAATGTGGCCTATTTTGGAGACTGTTCCATGTGCTGCTGAGAAAAACAAGTATTCTGATGTTGTTGGGTGAAATATTCAGTAGATGTCTATTAAGCCTAGTTGATTTATGCAGTTGTTTATATCTGAGGTTTCTCTGTTGAGTTTTTGGTGTGTTGATCTATCAAGAAGGGATAGTAGTATATTAAAGTCCCCAATAATTAAGGTCTTTGGAACTATGTGAGATTTGAGGGAAAGTAGTGTTTCTTGGATAAATTTTGGTGTTCCATTGTTTGGTGAATATTTAGAATTGTAATATCCTCCTGAAGGAGAGGTCCCTTAATTAGTATATAATGACCTTCTTTATCTCTTCTAACTAGTTTTAATTTAAAGTCTATTTTATCTGATATTAGGATTGCAACTCCTGCCTGTTTATGGGGAACATT